TGGTCAACACGTTACAAGTCCACTGTCCATCTTCATTAGCCCAATCGGAGCAAAACAGTAGGACGTTAAACCCCATTTCATTTCATTACATTTAGAGGTCATTTCATTGGTTCCAATTATTTGGACACATAGCGAGAATATTAGGAAATATTAATAAGTAAAACGTCGACAAGGGCTAATACGCCTGCTAGCTGCAAAGTCGTCTGTATTAGCTCTAGAATCAATGCCAACAAATCCTACTGAGCAAGGTTTAAAAGATTCTAACTAGTTTCACGAACTAATGAAATTGTAAATGTGAACTGAAAGATAATTCGAAATCTCTGTCCACACTAAAGGCGCTCTGGTTTTGTCAACGACGTTACTCTACCAAAGTTTTCTTTCTGTAGTGGCCTTAGCTGTGTCCAAAGTAATCTGCTGCGTTAATCTGGTTTGCGTAGGCACAAGAAATTGTGGACGGAGGCCGGACGGACCGGAACAGGTGTCGAAAATATACGTCCACGTTAAAGGTTTTCTGGCGTTTCCAACGCCGCTGTTCTACCAAAGTTTTCTTTCGATAGATGCAGTCCCCTTATTATAGCCATCGCGAAGTTCGGGAATATCAACGTACTCAAAGTAATCTGTTCCGTTAATCATGCTTGGTCAACCATTTTGCAATGAGCTGACATGTATAATAAAAAAATTCGTTAAGTTTGTTCAATGAGACATCGCAGGTTTCCCCTTGTGTGATCGTCTGGACAAATTATAAAATAATATGATAAAAATCGATAAATAAGGTGGCATCTTAAGTTAGAAATTTCTTAGCATGGTGTCAGATTTCCCTTAAGATATGGGGTGTCATATGGACTTAATGTCACATTTTCATTTGGAATATTAATTGCAGGAGGACCGCACCACAGACAAAAATCCATAACTATTTACTTTAGAGAAATCAGACAAAACGTCATGCAAAAAAATTAAAGACTCAAGACAGTAATCAATAGCTTTAGAAAATTGTGTAAGTGTATTAAAAATATGGGAATAAGCCTCTTTTCGACCCCTCCCCCCTCCCCCCGGAAAACCTAGCATTGATTACAAGAAAGAAACAATGTAAATGGTGCGCCTGCCGAATGACGGTTCTTAATTGCGGTAGTTTGACAACTTTACATGTACATGTAATGAATTTTTTTTTTTTTTTTTTTTTTTTTTTTGCTTTGGCTGAAATAAAATAATATATGACTATATACAATTAAAATGAAAGTAGGGGGGGGGGGAACAATGTAATTAAATATATCTAAAACGTGTCATCACAGTAAAAACTGTAGGCCTGAATAACCCAGACAAAAGATCTACTTTGATTTCCCATCAGCAGAGCTGATAAACTGGTTAACCAAATTCAAAAACTTTTTTTCGTTTTATAATAACCCACCTAGCCTTTGACAACTGAGCGTGTTGGTGTTTGAGTCAGTACACGTGGGTTCAGATCTGGAAGTGTAACGAATGACAGGCGTCGTGGAATGCAAAACCAAATTAATGGTCCATTTAGCTTTAAGCAGTGACGGCTTTAGTTCACAGGTGTGGGCGTGTACACTGAGTTATAGGTCAAATCATTCTAGAACATCCGGTACCGCCCACGTTTGGTTTATTCTATAACTTTATATAACTATAAGATTTACTTGCGACTAACATCCCTTGTCAGTGATGCAGGAAGGAGGGCCTGACAAGGACAGCTGTCTAGTCGTTCGGATGGGACGAAAAACCGAGGTCCCGTGTACACATTTGCGTGCACGTAAAAAATACCTTGACAGTTGGAATTCGATATAAGAGTAGGCCGTAGTGCCGCTGTCCTGGCAAAATTTCCCTCATAGCACACTGTATGGCGTATACCCGTCTTCATTAGCCCAGTTCGGAGCAGAACAGTAGGACTTTAAACCCCATTTCATTTCATTTGCGACTAACAGCAACCGCCCCTCATATTGCACACGAATCACTGACATGACAAATGATCGAAATATTCTGTTGAGGAGATGTTAAACTCCATTCTTTCTATTCAATCCGATTCCATTCATTCTTTCTATCCCAATGGAAGCAAACGTAAATTACAGAAATGTGTATTTTGAGATCCCCATGCAGTTTTTGTTAATCTGGCAGAGAAACAAATATCAAATCTGTTCAAATTTCAATTTGTATTGAGCCGTCACTCTAGAGGTTATCATTTCAATTTTTTTTGGTTTATTCCTGAATGACAAACATCACCAATAGAACTAAAGCCGCATGAAGTTCACAATACAATCTACTCGTATTAAAATGTACATTAATTACTATAGTTTCATTAGACTGGAATCCCTGTGGATGGAACCCAATCTGATTATTAACGTATTAATGAGAATACCAAGGCCTCTCTCCATTCGTTACACTTCCCTTTAAATTAGATTTTTTTTCGTATTGTGTCTTTTGGGTCGGGACCGAATTTTATTGGTAAAAGCTATTAAATGCGATCATTATTACATTCGCTTTAATGGCTGTCACTGTCTGTCAGATGTATAGAATAATATACATACCATGACAACACTGCTATATAAAATGAATTAGTAAAATACATTATTTATATTATATTTAATACATACCTATATAGAAAGGTCATATATTATGAGAATGCAATTGTTAACACCCCTACAGCAGATATGTCAGACATGAAGCAGTGTTTAACGTCCTACTTTTCTGCATCAACTGGGATAATGAGAATAGACATTTACTCAGACAACCTGCAGTTCTTAGAATTCCAACTGTCAAAGATTCGTACATGGGCCTTGACTTTCCGTCTCATCCGAACTACTAAACTAGACTCCGTCCTGCACCACAGACAAGGGGGAACCACGTTGAAAAATCCCTGTTTAGTAAGCTAGCGCCGTATACACTGAGCCAGCGTGGCTTCCGGTAAGCTAGAAAGCCTCATAACAGCTATAAAACCAACAAGAGTACTATTGATTTGATGATACAGAAATCATAGCAATTACACAACTAAATTTGAAAGTCAATATCACTTAAAGTACATGGACTATTTTAAGAGGAGGTGGTTAAATTCGAATTATGGGATTTGAAGTTTGGTGTTATTTTATTACAAGACCGTAACCATCTAACCAATTTAATTTTGAGCAAGTTACTTCTGTCCCTTGTAACAACTACTAACATATTCTGGTCATGGTTTTAGTTTTGTAATACTTACTTTATTTGCCACTTTTAAAAAGTGTCCGGTCTGGGGTTTAGATGGCATAGTTGTTTAAAACATTCACTTTAGATCATATACATGTGATGTGTGTCGTTGAGCCAAATAGCGTGGTTTCGGTCCGAGCAGGGTCTCCAGACTGTGCACAAGCGTATTATTGAAATAAAATCTAATCTATGTTAGTCCCGAATGACTTAGGCTGTGTTGAGTTGACGACCCCATCTCTCTCTCTCTCTCTCTCTCTCTCAGTATAGGTACTAACCAATATCTAGAATGTTTAATATTTTAGTGTGGTAGTGACGTTTGCAGTGTTCGGAAAAAAGTACTTATCGTTTCTTCAACAAATAAAGACGCACATAGCGACTATTCCTGAATTAATTAGAATTAATTAGCATGTCATACTTCGTGCACAGCTGGAAAAGTTTGTAACCATCGCATGTATAGCACCCGTAACATCTCTAAGATGTACATCGTATAGCGAGTATTTATCTGAATTAATTAGCATATCATACCCCGTGCACAGCATTCAAATCAGCTGGAACATTTTGCAGCCATCGCATGGAACTATTATTGATAAAAATATGAAGGTTGCACGGCGGCAAATAACCCATTTCCTGTGTTAAAAACAGTGACAACATATAAGTGTGCTCTAGACAGACACAAGTAATGATTCTCGTCGAAAAGACCGTTTTCCTTTTGACACCTGATACTAATAGCAAGGTTAAGTACTCAGATTATCTAAAACTCTACAGATTCTAAGATACTTAACCTATGGCCTATAGTAACTTGTACAATGTCTTTGACTGAGCTAAATAATTAGGAGTCTGGACTACGCTGCATGACTTTATCGAAAGTTACCCGCACTGTCCAGCCATATATACCTACTTATATGCACAATCGTATTATTTTACTCTTTAAACATAACGCAACCGAGGTCTAAGTTTTATTTGGAAGTTACAAGTATACACGTTCGCAACATAATGAAGATGGGCATATGCTATGCATTGTGCTATAATATAAAAGTCTATAAAGTCTATTGTGCTACGGCCTACACTTATTTCAAACTCCAACTGTCAAGGGTTCTTTTTCGTGCTTGCCAATGCGTGCATGAGACCTCGGTGTGGGACACTGTTCCTTAATGGGTCCTCCGTGCTGCACCACTAACAAGGTGAACCCACTCCGGAAAATCCCGAGGAACTTTTTTCGGTCAGCACCGTAATTGACCCCAGGATCTCCAGGTTAGCCCGGAATCGAACCCTGGACCACAACATTAGCGAGCCAGTGCCTTACTCACCGAGCCGCCGCTGCTCTCGGTATTATAACTTCTTATTGATTTATCATCATATATTCTTGGATACAAATACTTGTGTAAGTTGATGCGCAAGTAGAAATCACCCCATCGTATCGTAAATGTCGCATTCACTAAGTCAATTATGAAATGATAAAGTCAGTGTTTTCCCTGGGTTGCCGCATTCTTCCTTTTTTGCGCTGTCTAAACTAAATGATTGTATCAGCTTGTGTTTTTTTTACATCTCCACAGAGGGTTAGTTTTACTTAAACGTATAGATAATTTTATGGTGCTGTGAACGGATTCAGAGGGGATTTATAAAAACCTAGAAGCTAAAAATGGTTGAATGATAGCAAACAGGATATTACAGGCACACAATTCAAATATTGATATTTCTCTCGCATCTCCGAGTCTTTGTCAAATGGATACACCTTGGGATGGATCACGTGACTCTATAGGCGCGATTGTCACTGGGCTGGCAGAGGAGTTTCTGACACGTGGTCTCCAAGCTTGCCAACTCTCGGCTGAATTACCGGGTAATTTGATTATTATGAGCTGGCCTGATCGTCGTCATTATGCCAGAAACATCTACACCAACAACAATTCACACTAATTTCTAGCTAAGCGCTTGGACGATATGCCACTTAAGAACGGATCTGTGCAGACATTGTAGGAACGGAGAGTAAAACCAGGAACTTTTCAATCTGTCGGATATCATTTTCTGCTGGATTTATCAATTTGACTGTTTACCACACTTCATTAAGAATTTCCATTATAGCAGCATCTGTGGGGAGAAGACGACATCTCTTATAACAGATTAAATATTCCACTGTTTCATGTGAACATTTTCTGAGATCTTTAGGTAAGTTGAAATCATTACGAAAAACTTTTTTTTTCATCGATTAAATTATTTCGGTAAAGTTTGATAACTTTATCGTATTGATTTGATTCATATTTACATTTAGGTTTTTGGTTGCTTTTACAGATATAGGTTCAAGTTTATATATTCATATTCACAGATATGTGTTTATTCTCATATTCGCATGACTACGGATTTGTGTTATAGTCTTACAAGGGTTTTATAGCATCTGTTAGATTTTATGCTTATTTCTCTTATATAACATACCGGGTTTTCGAAAAAGAATTATATTTAATATTTGTGCGTTATTTTAAGGGTTCCTTTCCGACGTTTCGGATAGTTTTGTCTAGATTTGTATATTGTTTAAAAATGCAAGGGATAGATGAAAAAAAATGAAAATTATGAATATTCGGCGCGACTTCTGTATTGAATAAGAATTCTATGATATTGTATTCGGCATCCGGCTATTGTCTTATTAAACAAAATTTATACTGTTTTCGTATGTTATTAAGAACACTATCCATGTTATGAACAATAGTAACGGTCAGATAATGATGATGTTTTTGGCATGAATGGCAACATAGCGAACTAATTCGTCTAGTGCGGAAACAATATAATTGAATGAGTCCCTTCACTTGTCGTGACTCAATGTGTGTTTAAATCAGGCTTAACATCGCCATCTTCTATCTTCGTAACCCACATATCTATGAAGTGTTGATGAAATTCACCAAAATAATTTTGCTTCCGATACAAGCTGTCATTAATTCAATCAATACGTAAGTAATAGTTTTTGTTTAGTGTCAATTTCAAAATGGATTGAAAGGGGTTGGGTTGGTGTAGTTCTCAAACGACACGAATTGAATGACCGCTAGTCCCCCTTCATTGTTGTCATGATGTCCCGAGAAGTAATATTATTAGTGGACATGGTAATGATGTCACATGCTAGATTAATTAATTAATCAAGCTCGTTTTCCAATGACAAAGGTACAGAGGAATAAGATTATATCTTGGGTGGTTGTCGCATTGTTATTATTATTATAATATCGAACAAAGATATCCAGGAACAAATAATGAGTTGATTTAATTGGTATCGTCTCGTTAATCTACGATAAAATATTGGTTATACGTGTGATTCTGTTCGTGTCTTAAGGTTGTGATTAATTTTGTATCAATGTACATCTATTTGTGGTAACTAGTATAAGCTATTGTTAAACAACAATAATGATCAACCAGTTATTTTTAAACCCTCTTTCCATATCTGTATGGCTTATGTACATTTATTTATGCATTATAACGTCTGAAGACTTTCAGTTACGAGCAAACTGTCAACTTGTGATTTGATAAGGGGACCTCACTACACACAAACAAAATCGAAAAGAGACACACTACACAGACATTGCAAGCACAAAAATCCCAACAAATACCAAATCAAGTGAATTGATCCGAGGGTCAGTCGTAAGCGTTAATTCAACTGTACTCAAAATGAAAAACAAAACAATGATTTACAAGAAAGACACACTAATTATGTGTTTGATTTTGTAGCTGGACGTATTTTTAACGTTTTGTTTATGTATTGATCTACCGTAAACATATAATAAAAGTATCTGTATTTTAGCAACTTTGATCTATATGTTTATATGTAAATAGCAAGTATACCCATATGTAGGCTAACAACACAGCACAATTTACATGGAACACATTTTCAAATATATATTGACAAATGAAACGTGCATATAGATATATTAAAGATGGGTTCCCGCGTACAAACTGGGTGATTTAATGGTATATATGGACCAAAAACATATTCAAACTAATTAATTGGTCATAATTATGCTTTAAATCCTTCTCAAACATTGTAATTGCGAAGGAATGCCCTGCTATTAAAATTCGATCAAACCAGGTCATGTTTACGTCACGTCTTGGGAGTCAGAGGAGAAATCATTGCATACATAAGACGATGTTGTCTTTAATCGCTTACTATTTATTACAAATATCGAATCCTAATTAAATTCTCGGCTTATCCACTACCACCGTCTTTTTCCGTCATTTTTATCTCAGAAAGTATTGTACGTCTAACTCTTCATTAAGTTTATCAACTTGTACATCAAGCGCTCAATGTTCGCTTGTGACCTTTGACATCGTGCGTGCAGAAGGTCATAATCGTCGGGCTGTTGAGTAGGGGAACCCTTACATTTTTGTCCTGTATACGCTCCATGAGTGTTTTTTGGGGAATCCAGTATTTTTCTAGTAAGATTGGATATCTCTACTTTCCATATATACCAAAATTGCCATACTTTTATTGGAAATAACCACCCGATAAATACTTTTCTGGGAATCCATCTTTAAAGCAATTATATTCATCTGTATTCGTATCAATAATGTTAAACTAGTTTATTTTTAAAAGCCCTTTCCCATATATATTTATCAATGAAACATGTGCTTATAGATATATTATAGCAATTATATATATACATATGTATTCGCATCAATAATGTTAAACCAGTTATTTTTAAAGTCATTTTCCATACATAAATATATACACTAAAGAAAGATGTTTATATATATATAGCTATTATAGCCATCTGTATTCGTATGAGAATTGTGGGCCAATTGCCTATGAATTATAAATGACATGCTGTAGTTGTCTCAAGGGTGTCAAAGCATTAAAGTCAAAAGGAATATCGCACCTTGAGAACAGTGGATCAAGAAAGTCAATCGAAAGAAAAACAATGGCGTCCAATCTAAAATTCGTAATCATTACTGTTACAGTTTCAATTTCAGACATAAATTGCCATGTTTTTTTTTTAAAGTAGCCCAAAGGACTTGATATACACATTTTCTCTTAATCGAATCAGTGACTTGATTATTGGGGATTAATTATTAATTGAATACAATGAAGTCAATGATGTACGCTAGTTTAAACCCACGTGTAAGAGTTCTGAGAGCCACGGTAAAGGTTATAATTCTACTTAAAATGTAAATTTCCATGAGTCCTTTAGCGATCTATTTTTTTTAATTTAGTTTTGGGGTTTTATTATTATTTTTTTTTTAAAAAAAAAACATCATTTATTTGCCCCGGTGTGCATTCAGATGACAAAGTTTAGCTAGCTTAACGATCACTGCTATTTTTAATCCAATTAAACTTAAGCGTCTAAACGGCATATAAATAATAATATAGTGTGAATATAACAAGACATGGATGCAGAAAATACATAAAAATACATCGAAAATAAGAATAATTAATCGTGGTTTAACCCTTTTCTAATTTAACAACCGTTTAATTGCGATAAACACGTATGTCAATGTATTTCAGAAGATTTCTGTAAAAACCACATCCAGTATTGAAATAGTCCCACCCAATATCAAACGTGCATACAGAAAGGGTCTGGCCAACTATGGTCTCAATTATGATGGGTTAAGAAAAATGCTATTTTTGTCCAATCTTAGTACTATATGCTTTTACATATTATTACATAGTTCCTGCCTCTGACCCTCTATATATCTGCAGAACACTCATTATTTTAGATTTGTTTTGTTTTAATGTTGATCTATTAGAAACTTGCATACTAGATAACAAAATGGCGACCATGGCTACAGTTGGAAAGATTATCTCTATATATGGCGCTGGTCTCATCCCCAGCCTGATGATAAAATAATGTAATTAACCAGATGTTAATTCATTTTCGTTTCGCTTTATTTATATATATTGTTTTTAAAAATGTGTTGTACTACATTAACATCTGACATAATTTGGTTTGAAGTCGGTGTTCAGATAAGATGAATTCTTTTTTTTTGTTTGACTAATCAAATTGGGTTTGTGAATTATGGGAATGATTCTTAAAGGTTTAAGGGCGTAATAAGTTTCTAATGTAAATGTTATCCTTGGTTGCAGAACATTGTATAGAGAATTGGTTTTATGAAACTGTAAAATCAGACAAAAAAATAAATGGAACGAAATTGTGATCTAATTAAATATGTTTTCCATCGCTGTTGATTCGTATACAATATAAAGAAAACTAGCTGACGGAAATGACGTTATTTTATTCCACAAATCAAAATTTTAATGACAGGTTTCGTTTAATATTACAAGCATAGATTGATTTAGCAAACCTCAAAATTGGAAATAAAATTGGGTTTAACGTTCTATTTTACTGTAACTGGGCTAATGAAGACGAGCATACGCCATGAAGTGTGCTATGAGATAAATTGTGTCCAGACATTGTAGTGTCCGCCTACTCCTCATCAAATTCCAACTGTCAACGGTCATTTCACGTGCACGTCAATGTGTAAACGGAACCTCTTTTTTTTGTGGCATCCGAACAACTAGACGCTGTTCCTTGCCAGTCCCTCCATCCTGCACCACTGACAAGGGAAAACCACGCAGGAAAATTCAGGAGACCGTTCTCGGCCAATACTGGTTGGGAGTCCGTAATTTCATGAATGAAGCTATAGGACCGTGTGAACACTATCTAAACAATCTGGATATGTACACATTCTTTTGGGTCTTGTGATTTAAAAAGAAATCTTACAATGGTCAAAACCTTCAAATGATCGACCAATTTGTCCAATTGTACGAATTAGAAACGTAGAAATTGGACAAACGATGTGTTCCAGATAGAATAAATCACATTGTACCCATGGATAAAAGAAACTTGTCTTAAGAACAGCTCATACCGACGTTCACTTCCAGAAACATGTAGGGGAGATGACACTAAGACGTGTGACCTTTCGATTCTACAATTTTTTCATTTCCTTGTATCGGTTTCCAAAAGAGATTAGCTTTATTAAAGTTAATTAATATAACAACCCAGCGTTGGATTAACCAGTATATTAAATTGCATCACAAAAAGATTGAATTTGATATGACGCATGGTCGTTTTTTATGTTTCAATCCTTTGGGTTTTGAGTTGTTTTCTTTAACACGAGACCCGCAGTACACGCAGAATAAGACAAACCTGCAGAGAAAACAAACTACACAGACAATGCGCAAGAAATAAACAACC